GATTGGATGGTTGTTTGATGGTTGATCCACCGTCATTTGTCGACTTCAACCAAAAATCAACAATTCTAACTATAATTTAACGTTGATATAACGTCGTGTGCTATCTGGGTTTATGCTGGTATGGTGGTTAGAGCTGCTGCTGACTGACTCACCTGTTATCAAGTGTGGTAAAAGGTACAGGGACAAGTTCAATATATGAATATCTTGGTATTTCTTTTCCTTAATTCATTAAATGCTACATTGGGAAACACTAGTCTGTAGCTAAGCTATCTATACTGAATGGTCGATAATCTCACATAGTCTACTCACCTCTTTTGGAGAAAAACTGGGTTACAAATTCACACTCTTGTCTTTTGCTCTTATCTATTTTTTTTTCTTCTTTTTTTTTTTGAAAACTTGACTTCATTATTTTTCTAGGCAGCATAGTAACTGCCACAGTCGTTCTTGTGTTGTACTGACTGCTACTGAAAACTTCACAGTCAAGTGCACCAAGCAGGAACGAACCATTTCATGCAGGTCTTCAGTGCAAATATAAATGTGTGCTTTTTTGGTCTGGGAGGGGTAACATTTAATTTTTACTGCTAAAAACAATTTTAAAAAACACAGTAACAGTACTTGTCATGGCCCTGTTTTTTTTTTTTTTGTGGAGGGCCCTTAGAATTGTCATAACTTCCCCCCCCCCTATACCACACCCCTGCTTCCAGTTATAAGAAACATCTTATTAAAACTAAGAGTTTTCTTTAAACATGAATCTGTAAGGGATATCATTAATGTTGGGTTTAATTATCTGGTTTTTATCAGGTTTTAGGTTCTAAAATGATTCTAATCTCACTTTGAACGTATAAAAGTAGGGATTACAAGAAGATAATAAAATGGAAAAGTCATGTAAGAATGAATGAATGCGTTATCGTTGTTATTGTACCAAAGCAAAACAACATATATTTCAGTACAGCCCATCCAGAAGATGGGTGCCTGTGGCCCATTTAGAAGAACTAGTTCTCCTCATGATTTGATGTCTGTGTCAGAAATAACATGAAAAGACTGTTTTCTGTATGAATCCTTCAGTCTCACATTGTTAACAAAAGTCCTGCTTACAATTTCCCACCAGTCATCTAGGGGACACAGCAGCTGGTAAGATGATATTCATGTATATTTTTTGGGGTTGTTTATAATATGCCTCTGTGGGATGCATAAAGGACAACTCTGTAAAACAGCTGACTTAAATAAGTACATACATTTATTAAGCAATAAATACATAATACAGATTAAACAAGCCCAAAAATTAAAGATTTATATTAGTCAAAATTTTGAGACAAAGTCAATAAATATAATAAAGGTGATCACATGTTTTCCATTCCAACATAAGCATATCATCACATACATGTTCTACATTGACGTCTCATTTAGGTTCTTGGCCATATTGTCTCCCTGTGCCTCTGCAGTCCTTCTTGTCCCTTCAGGAAGACTGGATACATTGATAAACTTGTTTTTTGAAATCAGTGTCTTTTGTCCTGTGACCTGTTTCCTCATCATTCCAAAAAGTCCTTTGTGTGTCCAGACACTACATCACTCAAGGCACGAAAGCCTCAGCTTTGGTCTGTTACAGAGACATAAACATATAACCTGTTTTCAGATACTACAACATCAAAGCATTCAAAGGGTTATGGTGGCAGCATTATGCTGTGGGGATGCGTCCCTTCAGCAGAGACAGACATGCTTAATGAAGATTATTGGACGGTGGATGGAGATAAAAACAGGATGATTCTGGGGAAGGCAAACTATTTGAGGCTCTCAAAGACTGAGCCTGAGGTGGAGGAGGAGGTCTACCTTCCAGCAGGACAACAACCATAAACATACACTACAGTGGAATGTTTTACATCAAACAATATTCATGTGCTAGAATGGCGTAGTCAAAGTCTAAACCCAACTGAACTGTTATGGCAAGACTTGAAAGCTATTGTTCAGAGATGCTTTCCATCAATAATCTGACAGAGCTTCAGCTAACTTGCAATGAGGAATAGTCAGACATTTCAGGCATTAGTAGAAGATGCAAACCTGGTAGAGACAGAGAAGAGAAGCTGGAGAAAGTGGTGTTTATTTAGTTCAGGATTTCATACTTTAATAATTCAACTAGATTAAAAAAATAGTTTTTCATAACAAGTTTACAAGGATGCTTTTAATAAAATGTATTATTTATTTATTTATTTATTTATTTTTAATTAAGTGACCACTTTAAATCAACTTAACTTTTTTCCATTCCACTTATGAATTTCAATGATCAAACTAACTGACCAGCTTTTGTTCGGATGTTTTTAGGTGAAGCTGATTAATGTTGGCTTTACAGGGCAGTGACGGTCACCTCATGTACCATTGAATAACTGAGCACCCGACAACCCTTGAAGCTGTTTTATTTTGAAAGAGCCTAAAGGAAGTTGATATGATGGGTGTGCTCTTTACTTTGTTTTAAATTCAGCGGTAATTGCGTGGAAGCGAGTATTTAGTCAGTGGAACTTGTAAAGCGGCAGACAGAAGAGGAGCGATCTGAAGCATCAGGACAGATCGAGGACAGCGGGGACAGATCCGGGACAGCGGGGACAGATCCGGGACAGCGGGGACAGATCCGGGACAGCGGGGACAGGACAGGAGGAGACAGCAGGTCATCGCTGCAGACATGTAGGTTCCACCTTTCATTGTCATGGCAGTGTTTATATGAAAGCTGCCTGCTCCAGCTCTCTGTCAGGTCTGACGGACCGGATCTGCTGTTCTGTCTGTTTCTGGACGGAGCGGCTCCACCTGTTGTCCCGAACCGGGAGCCCAACATGTCCAGTCCTGCAGGGACAGCTCAGCCCATCATGTGGGTGTTTAAACCAAGGGAACAGCTGGTGTTTTACAGCACTGTGCTTCAGTTTGAAATTCTGTTTAACTTAAATATTCTTATTTATACATATAATGATGTTTATTTATTTAAATATATATCCAATTGTTTGTAGTAATCAAACTCTTGAGATGTCCCTTAATGTCACACATGAGTAGTCATACCACAGCTATTATTAGTCTGGCAGCATAATAACCTTTTATGATTTATGGAGTGTCACAAGTTTTAAATCAGAAATGTTGTCATTACTGGAACATTTACAGAATGGTGACACACCAGTTTACTCACACTGGTATTCTAGTCATTCCAGATCCAGCTGGCTGTATGAATATGGCTCTGCGATTCTTGAGATAAGAGACAAGATGGGTTAAAATTTTCCCAAGAAATAATGTAATTATTCCTCAAGCTTATGTATTCAGATATGACAATTAATGTTTTGGAAATGTAAAGATGCTAAGGTGCAGGTTCCCAGCTATAACATTTTTTTTAAATTACATTTTTAATGGACCTGACCCAGAACTTTGTCAACACCATCTGAAAAAAATAAATATAAAATTATTTTTAATGACCCTATTGTGATCGTTCTTCTCACTTTTACAAACAAATGCTTCTCAAAAAACAAAAGAAATATTTTTTAAAACAAAAAACAACATAAAAGCCATCTGACGGAGTTGATACAGAACTGACAGTGGCGACACACTAGTGAGTAAAAAGAAATACTTGATACATGTAGAGTAATGCCATTTATGTAAAATACATTCAAATGAAGTAACTGCACACACTGCAAGAACCCAGGGTGAGCGGGGTGGGAAGGTGACTAAGACTGAGACTAATAATGTCCTGTATCAGAACAATAATAGTGCTGCATCTTCAAACATAAGGAGTTTCACAGAAGGGTCTGCCGAGGAGCGACCATTTGGATACAGGGAGAATAAGAATTGGGGGAGAACTCAGCCTTTGAGAGTGCCAGAAAATGCTGCCCAGTCACACCCTCTGCTGCCATTCAGTCAGGAAGCTGGTGATCTGCTGACAGGTGGAGGCTGGCACTGTGAGCTCGGTGACCTTCTGGTTCAGGATGTCTGGGTTGCTGGTGTAGAAGACCACCAGCAACCCAGGATCCTGGTGTAAGTCTCATGGTGGTCGAGGTGCTACTGGATGAACTGCAGTCCCAAATTGACTGAATTATCCACCAACCTGTTTGCCTGGTAAGCAGGGAACATATTTTTCAAGTTAACTGGACTTTCTCTGTCATTTAAACCAATCCTTATTATAGACTCTATGGGTCAGGGACAGTGGTGGGGACATCATGATAATTGAAAGAGTGAGGAGTGAGCAAAATATGGGTTAATCATAATTGCTGTTATAATATTTAACAAGGTCCACATGTGCACTTGGCACCAGGACACCCTGGGCCACAGTTCAATGATCGGCTTTGTTGTTGTTTCATCGGATCTGCAGCCACATGTCTTGGACACTCGGGTGAAGAGAGGTGCAGAGTTGTCCACCCTATGGAGGAAACCGGATGTCTGGGCTTTCCCTTAGAGATATGGTGAGAAGCTCAGTCAGCTGGGAGGGACTCAGTAGAGCCGTTGCTCCTTCATGTCAAGAGGAGCCAGTTGAGGTGGCTTGGGCATCTGGTTAGGATGCCTCCTGGAGCACCTGGTGAGGTGGTCCATGTACATCCCACCGGAAGGAGACCCCGGGGAAGACCCAGGACATGCTGGAGGGACTATGTTCCTTGGCTGGCCTGGGAATGCCTTGGGATTCCCCCGGAGGAGCTGCAACAAATGTCTGGGGAGAGGGAAGTCTGGGCCTACCTTCTTAGGCCCCGTTTACACAACAATGATCCAACGAAAATGGAATTTTTGTTTAGTTTCTGTTCACACATTTACATGAAGACGTTCTAATTACAATCTTTGTTTACACACGGTACACATCAAAAAGGTGTAATGCTCTTGTCACGCCACTAGTTGGTGCTAGATTCTTTGAAACTAAGTGCGCATGTGTTAAAAAAAAAAAAAAGATCTACTTGAAAGCACGTCGATTTGCGTTTCCCCATCAGGTACCGTTCCCCCAGATATTGGGGAAAAACATGCACTGTGTGTGTCTGATTAGGGCACAGTTGAAAAAAAGTGGGATAACTTAGCTGAAACACGATGTTTGAGCTTTCGCGGTGTCTGTAATTCTCTAGATAAGAGGCTGAACAAGCGAGTGCCTGTTATGATCGCTGAACAAGTACACGTGTATTTTGCCACCTGGGCTGTACAGAGCGGTGAAGAGACACTGAGGGAACCATATCTGATGGGGAGACACGAATTGTAGTAACACCAGCATTGTCAGTAGTTTCTTTTTCTTCTGTGGATTGTCGGAAGCAGTTTTGTGTCATACTATGCATGAGCTGGGGATTCTCTGACAGAAAAGATCCATTTATTCTATTTACAAGACATCGGAGACCAGTATGTTTTAGAAACATTGCACTCTGGAACCCGTTTTCAAACTGTGCCGTTGTCAGAGAAAACATTTGCCATTTTCGCATGAAATGGCAAATGTTTTGTTGTGTTTCGTACAAACACAATGAAACTCTTTAGTTTTCACCCAAAATTGTTGTCGTGTAAATGGGGCCTTAGGTTGCTGCCCCCACAACCCGACCCCGGACAAGCGGAAGAAGATGGATGGATGGATGGATATTCAACAACAATATGGCAACAATGCCATGTTGTCTAAAATATTGTCAATTCCTAAAAGGGAAGCAAAGCAGTCCTGACCAGATGATCATCTTGATTTCAGTGCAGAAGAGCAGCAACTCAACTCTAAACCCCTTTGGATGACAGAGCTCCTCATCCTCTCTAAGGCTGGATGCAGTCATCTTAGGAAGTTCATTTCAATCAAATGTATTCAGGATGTTGATCTTTCAGTCATGATCAACAAGGAATGACCTCTGGCTAAAATTAGGTTTGCAAAGTGTGGACAGTAGGTCCTCTGCATGGTGGAAATATGGACCGTCAGTACACACCGTTGATGCAGAAAGACAGTTTATAGAAAATATCAGCTACAACATGTTTGTCATTAAATACTCATGTTTCTGCTTTCATTTTAATTTTATCGTAAACAAGACCACAAACATCCAGCAACTTTATTCAAAACCAGATTGGACCCTCCTATTGACTTACTTTGACTAAACAAAACAAGTGATTTTGAAGAAAGAGTGATTTGTCTCATTCTTCTATTGCTGAGAACAGACAAACCCTGTTTTAGGATCAAGAAAAATGGAAATAACTAAGAAAATGTAGAAAATTGTTTGCCTTTCTTTTAATGAGGCAGATGTCTGAGTTTCTGTTTATGTTTCAGATTGTTTGCTTCGGTGATATATTGCACGTTTTGTTTATCCTTGAGGAAACAAAAAAAGACCGTCATATTATTTTAGTATTTTGATTTATGAAAACATTTAGATTGTAGTAGTCTTTCTTGTAAGTGAAATATAACTATTTGGTTTCCATGATAGGGTTTAATTTATTTAGAAATGGTTGGATTGTAGGACTCATGACTGTAGCCCTGGATCTAACACAACAATATATAGAGATGCACAAACAGAATATCTTAACTAATTACATTTTTTGAAGCGATTAATTTGTACCTCACAATAGCACAAAGCCCATTGGCCTAAAGCACCTTTTTAAATTTGCAAGTGTTTCGTAACTTTTCAGTGACTCAAAGTGTCAGTCAACACTGCCTGACAATCTGGAAAAGCTTTCTGAAATGTCAACATATTGCAACAGAAAAACATGACCTCAACACATGTTTGAAATACTTTACATGCCAGTTTATTCAGACTTTTGAAAAGTTGGAGTAAGTCATTGTTCTTTGCTGCTGGGATTCCTACATGTGGCTCTGCAGTATGGAACCTACTTTATCTAAGCTCAAACTCATGTTATTCTGGTGGACAAAGGCAGACAGTTCTCCCTAAATAACGCCGTTGCTCATTTACTCCAAGATGTCATGAGTCCAATAGCAGTGTCCTGATGGCAGGTGCAGATGTCATGTGATTGTGTAATGAGCTACAAGAAACCCACCATTTGTGTTTTAAAGCTGCAGTATGTCACTTGTGTTAAGCTATATTTGTTCAGACTGTCTGAAGAAATATCTCCATGTTGTCCATAACTTGAGACAAATAATATGTGAAAAGATTTACCTCTTCCACCTCCTCTCTGATCTAGTGCTGTCTGAAAAAGCTCTGCTCCAGACCAAAAACAACCAATCAGGGCCAGGTGGAGGGTCAATCTCATGTACACGCTGCTGAATGTGCTAAAGGTGGAGAAACAACTTGCCGGTACAGGAAAACTGTTTATTCTCTGTCCTGGCAGGATTTGCGGTGGGGAACCAGCTGCAGAGTAGCAGGGAGAAAGGGGGAGGGTCTGAATTGCATACACAAGTTTGACTGACAGCACTAAGGCCCTTCTCCTGGCTCTGATTGGTTGTTTCTGAATGACCTGTGTATTTGCACAGATGACAGCAGGTCCATAGGGAGAAGGCAGAGAAGTTTGATTCTTTTCACGGATTATCTGTGTCATGCAATACTGTCATGAAATAGCTATGATAGTTTTAACAAATTTACATTAAAAAAATAATGATAATAATAATAATAATAATGTGTGTAGTTTTTTTATTTTATTTTATTTTTTTTTACATGTGTTGCATACTGCAGCTTTGATTTGATCTCTGTAATTTTTTTTGAGCCCTGACCTACCCACTTCTTCCAAACTTAGTATAGACAGCTTGCCATGGCAACCAGGTGATATGA